TAATCTCTGAAACTGTTCAACTAATTTTGATGAAATTTTGTAATCATGTATTGTTTTTAGATAACGAATAAAAAATACCCAACAGAGGGCGGTAAGGACCAAAATATAATTAGCCCAATATAAATACCAATTAATGTAATTATTATTAATCAAAATCATTCAACGAACACATCTGACTGAAATAAAAAAAAAAATTGAACTGTTTTAGAAAAAGCGTTTATGTTCCAGACACTACATCTAGATGTATTTAATCTAGACACTACGTTATGAACGTTAAATAAACACAGCCTTACATCGTCCAATGTTTACTCAAACGCGAAGATAAAGGGATACTATTGAAAAATAGTTTTTTTTTAAGAAACTAAAACACTACAGTTCTATAAAACTTAATTAAATTAAAAGCAACTCAAATATCGTTACGTTGTATACAAACATTATCAAAATCCTCATCAAAACTTTGTGACAATCGAAATTTAGAGATGATTTTGTAGAAGATCGTGTGTTCGAACGGCGGCCAACTGGAATACAATCGTCGATTACAATTCGAATTGAAATCGATACTCGAATCGTATAATAATCTTTTGGACGGCACATCGTTATCAGAATCGATTGCATTGGAATCACACGTGTTATACTCCGTACAGACGCTAGGGGACGCGAAGCTGTTTGTTCTATCAACGTTTGGACTTGCATTATCAAGCAAGACACCAGATCTTTTAACACCGTCTTGACTAATATTAAATACTTTACTAGCATTGTTAAAATCTACCGCAACAAAACTGGGTATGTGGTCTTCCAAGTTGCGTACATTTCGCTTACAAGTTTTCTCAGTGCCCGTATTACTATCGTCGAAAGATAACCAGTATTTTATACCGCCGGGGTGCTCCGTCTGGGACATAGATATCACTGGCGCTTTCTTAACGAATGGAGAGCCCAATATAGTATCATCTTTCTCGTATAAAACACTCAAATCGTCACCAGTAAATCTTTCATTGATATTTTTAATGGGCGATTCGTTGCAGTTATTAAAAATATTTACATTCCCCGATTCATTAACATCTTCAACGAATGCATCATTCATGTCTTGTTCTCTATCGTCTAAAATAAATGTTTCATTTAAAAAGTTATCAATAGATGCATTTCCTTTATTATTTTCTTCATGACAATGCTCATATTCAATTTTACACGATGTCGGTACGTGAAAATCTTTTGCAATTGCAGTTTGTGTAAAATACAAATCATTGGCCATATGTTCGTTATCGTATTCATCAATACTTTGAGTAAAATCATCATTTAGTAAATAATTTTCAACAACACTATTCATAACGTCTTTGATTTTCAAATCCGTTTCGATATATGATGCTCTAATTTTTGTATCAATAACTTTATGACAGACAAAAGAATTGTCATTTCTAGAAGGATAATCTAAGCTATTTTCAGTCCTCATTTTATTAGCACAAGTCATTAGACAAGTTTCGGCGAAACTATTATCGAACTCCTTGGCAATTTCATCATTTTCACTTACATTACCTACGTCTGGCCACAAATTTTTCGATGTTAACATAATATCTTCACTATCAGCAATCGTAATAACTTTCTTATTTTTATTCTTAGCTTTCTTGTTCTTTTTAACGCACGCATAAAAAGCTGTGTCAAATATGTAATATATTAAAGCTTCAACTATTTTATTTGATGGATTGACATCTGTTTCACTCGTTTCAGTTGACAATGTCTCATTTAAATTAATATTCGTCTCCAAATCTTCAATAATTTTTGTTATTGAAAATGTTTCTATTTCATTCTCATTGCTTAGATCCTGTTTATTTTCGTTTGACTCTTCTTTATTCTGATTTTCTTCAACTACCAATTCTTTTTCATTTTCTATACAAAATTTGGTTTCCACTTTACGCTCTGTTACTGCATTAAAGAATTGATCATTGTTTATATTCTCAAAATCAATTCTCTTCAAAATGTTTGCAATAATTTCTGATATGATTTCAAGTTTTTCAAATTCAACAGTTGAATTAAAACTGGTCACTTCAGTCCCTGAACTTGAATTTATTGTACTTACTCTAATAAAATCTTTATTATCTGTCTTATTAGTTTCAATATTATTTGAAGTGTTAACAGTAGTTGAGAGCATTTCAAAGACATTCTTATAAACACATTCTAATACTGGTTGATCCATATTATTCGTTTCTGTATACAGATCTATAGCATTTTGAACTGCATTAGAGGGAATTTCTATATCATTGGTAGTACCGTCAGACCCTTCATCAGCAACAAAATAATAGTCACTTTTTTGCAGATATTCATTTTCCATCTTTCTTGCAATTTTTTCACAACTCGCTTCTTCTGCGTCATTATTTAATTCAACGATTGCAACAGTTTTCGTAATGATATCCGTCATTATATCGTCTAAAGTTGTATTAATATTTTCATCGTTTTTATTACTATTATTTTGTGAATCGCTAGAATCGTCATAAGTACTTTTAGATTCCTCTAGAATAGGTTCCAAAATAGTATTTATTATATCGATGCGTTTTTGTGGAGATTTTCTTGGGCTACTATCTTTTCTATCGTAGTCTTCACAGTAAAAATTTATAGGTACGGAATAATCTCTAATGTCTTTCTCGACGAGGTCTTTTACGGGGCTCTCGTAAACTATTTCTTCGAATTCCATTTCCTCTGTGAAGCTGTGGTATTCACCTTCTGTTGTATCCAGTGTATTGTTATTACTATCTTCCATTTCTCTAACTACGGGTACTACTTCAGCTCTGTACATAATATCGTTATCTCCATTAATCTTTGCATTATCTGTTTCCGTAATTATTGTTTTACCATCATTTTTATTCAATTCAAACGGCGTCTTCTCAATCACAGTCTGATTTTCTGAATCAAAACTGTTACCAATATCGTCTAAATAATTATCTTCTGTAAATTCTTGACTGTCAACAAATTCAGTTAACTCTTTTGTTATTTTATATACAGGTACTACCTTTTCTTTGACTTTTACGATATTGCCCTCTGAACTACAGTCGTCATTACATTTCTGTGGAATATTATCTACTGAAAGGTAAATGGAACTCTGTTGTTTAGGCTTAAGACTGCTTTTCTCTTTACTTAATTCCCACACGTATGAATTATTGCTTGCACCGCACGAGCGACATCTGGGTAAATGATAATGAACTGGTTCTGGGTCTTTTATATAATTATTGATAAATCCACCGTGTGACCTAGTTCTGTATAATCCGTTATTGACATTTCTCCTTATCCTTTGTCTAGGTAAAGACTGGGTTCGGAATACATAATCAGTTTTGCATTTCGCATCCCATTCTAGTGAAGGTATTGAATATAGACTGGATCGACTACTAGCGTTGCCAGCAATTTCTAACGGTTCTATATCCACTTCTTGTGCTGATAATTTTGTGTTAAGACTAATTTTACATTTGGGACCTTTTTGCACACTATCTACAGAGTCTACAGGTTGTTTTTTAAGATTCCTATCAAGAGTGTTAACCTTTTTTGAACTGTTATCGACAGATACGGAATTTTCATACATTTTAATGACTCTATCAAAGTTCGCGTTACGAGTATAATCGTGTTTTGTTCTTTGGCTAGCTGTAAGTGCTTCGTCGTCGATAGCTTCCGTCTTAGTGTTACCTGGCAAGCAGTGCGAACATTAAAATAGCAAGCAACACAACATTGTTCCGACCAATTTTGCTTAAAACTCTTCATCATCACTGTCATAATTGTAAAGACCCATTAACATCCCACTGCTGGCCATAGGTATCGTTCAACAAGAGTTTTAATCAAAATTAGTTGGTACAGAAAAAAACAATTATTAGCTGCAATTAGATAAAGTTTTTTTAATATGCATGAAAATATTGACAGAACAATAAATAATAATAAATTTTGAAATTAATATAAATGAAAATACTATTAATACTTTGTTTATAATAATAGAAATAAATAAAAAAAATATATATACGTACAATTAAAAGCAAAAATAAGAATCGAAAGCTAGTAAATATTATTTTATAAGTTCATGTATAAACTTGTTCCACGAAATACAAGAAATTATGAGAAGATTACGACGCTGACTTGAGAAAATAGCGCATTTACCTCCTTTGAATCTACGCTATGATTATCTACCAACATTGCAAATTTAAACATTAAACAAATGGCCTATGAAATGAGTTTATATAGCTATAGCTTACACAGAACAAAGGACAAAAACTAGACAGCTATTAATTTTTATTTTTTTAAACAAACAAAACAAATCTAAAGGACAATACCAAATGTACAATCACAGATAGCCTGTCAACCTACTGAACAAAAATCCAGTACATAAACTATAATATCACAGACAATTCCGAGAGCCTTAAACGACACAAAACCATAAAGGACAAAACGAAACGCATATCTAATCTATAAACAAAAAATACTAGTCCTATCTCTTTCTAGCAATTTAGTTTAACCTAAGTAGAAATGAGACACAGACAAGTATCTTCAGGCAGCGGTGAAGCAGATTATAAAACAGTGTTTTATAGCCCATATATTACACCATAAAACCCTCGGTTAAGGGTTTTTGAGGTGGATTTGCTCCTTCGTATGGAATAATACGAGTAATAACAAAAACAAGCACAAACAACATATATCGACATAATCAATTTGATGCCAACCCATAACCAATTTGTCATAGACCCATAATCAATTTGACGCAGACCCATAATCAATTTGACGCAGACCCATAATCAATTTGTCATAGACCCATAATCAATTTGACGCAGACCCATAATCAATTTGTCATAGACCCATAATCAATTTGACGCAGACCCATAATCAATTTGACGCAGAACCATAAACCGCTGACAAACACATAATCAATTTACATAGACATAAATATCTACTAGACGTGAACACACAGTCCATTTAATGCAAACCCATAATCCGCCAACATAGACCCATAATCAAATCGACGTAGACCGAAAACTCACCTCTGACGACCGTCTGCTGTACAGCAGTATGGTGTGCCCTGATCACAACCCCTTGTATCTTGGGGGCCGGAGTGGAGATTGTGGAGCTGGAATCGACGAAGGCCTCATCGTCGGAGAGGAGGTTCGGATCCCGTTGGGGTGCTTAGGAATCAAGTTAATAGATTTTAATGAATATTACCGATTTATCGGCTTTAAAGAATATTATCGATGTATCGGTTTTAAAGAATATTCCCCATTAATCGATTTTAACGTGATAACGGCTACTATACAGTCCTGATAAGCAGACGGACATTCTAAACTATCCAGGCTTTTTAAGTCACATGTGTTAAATTTTTTTAGTAATACAATAAATTAAATAGTAATGCAAATATTTTTTCATGTACATCAAAATATACACAAGAACATAGTCCGAACAAACTCAGACGAAGTGTGGATAAATCTAGATCCAGACATACAAATCCAGACACATGGTAACCCTATGGTTACCATGTGTCTGGATCTGTGTCTTGTAGGCTCATAGGAGCGTTCAAATTACGATTTGTTTTATATATCGGAAACGTTATTTATATCGGTTTTCTGATAATCTATGTATAATATAATTCTTTATACAATAAATATATTATAACACACCAATATATTTTTTTTTATATTGGTGTCTCATAGCGGGAACTTTCAAGATAAATAACATCAATGATATATTCAAAACAACAGATTTGCTCTAACAACAGCTGATAAATAATCTTGGCATCTTAAAGAGTTATTATGTTTTAATAAAACACGCTGACACGTAGACGATAAGCTCACAAACACATCTCTCCCAACACTATCCAGACCCCTCTATCACACTTCATTAACAGGCTTCCGAACCCACCATCACTCTTGAATTCAACATCACAATCTCATATTTGTCCTAAACCAGAATAGACACCCCTTCTTTTCCCGTGTGGTAAGAGGTGTCGTAAGAGGCAACTAAGGGAGGGCGACGGATTGCAAGCAGCGTCCCTCTTAAAACATTTTGAAAACCTAACAGCGATTGCCAATCCGCCTGCCAAGCGTGACATGTATGGGCAAACCCCTCCAAAGGGGACGCTTATATTCAGCAGTGGACGTTAAAGACTATGATGATGATGATGAATGTGTTTTTATACATAACAATGATGTATATTTATGCTGATATAAAATGACAAACATCCAAAAACAACTTTCTACATTTCTATAAAAATCCACTTTAACATACCCCATCAATATCCCATATATATCCCATTATCACTATCACAATATCATCTAAAGAACAAATTTAGAACTTTATTCAACAGAACAATATTGATATAAAATCGACAAGCCCACAGACAAATTGCCACGTCATTACGTAGGTCCCGACATTACGTCTATCACTCCTAGTCCCACTATCACAATCACATCTACATAACTTTGTACACCTGTAGTAACAGTAAATAACTTTATTTTGTTTTGTTAAACATACAAAACAAAATATAATTATAAATAACACAACAAACCAACCCACAAACACAAATTTACTCCTTAACAATCCAGATCCCGGTATCACACATCATTATCATGCTTCTGGTCCCACTATCACTCCAGATACCGCTATCACAGTCTCACCTATGATCTTCTTATGCAAGTGTAATATGATAGGCTCAGACGGCGACGTCACTCGGGACACATCCGAAGAATAAAACACTTCATCATCTAACAGCAGACTTGGATCTCTAGATGCTTATATAAAAAAAAACTCAATTGTAAAAACTTTTTTTTAATCTAACAAAGACTGTAATTTGGGTTGCCAACATTTTCTCGATTGATTGTAATATTTTTCTAAATATGCTATAAAATTATATAGTACATTTAAATATAAAATAGTATATTTTGGAAAGATTTAAATGGAATGACCGTATTGTAACAGAGGCTCCCTCTATATGTTATTACATTTTTAATTTTTGTAATCTCGATTTGTTATTTACCCTTTACAACATCTTACATATGCACACATGATATTTCCAACAAGTACCTTCTGACCGACACGAATTAACATAAAATTTATTTTTAAGTTATAACAAATATTATATCAAATATTAGACATTTTTATATATCTATACTTATAAGGGAGAAAGATTTGATTGTTTGTATGTCTGTTCGTAATGACGAATGAAGGAATTCAAATTACTGAACCGATTTTAAAAAAATTCATACCTATAGATAGCTATTATATTATTTTCAATTAAATCAGACAGCGCTATGAAAATTATAATAGCGTAATCGAAGATTTGGTATCGTCGCCTTTTAAATTTGCCTTGTAATGAAATACAAATTTATCTTTCTATCCAGATAGACACATATATATATATATATATATATATATATATATATATATATATATATATATATATATATATATATATATATATATATATTTGTTTTAATTTAAATATAATTAGACCAATTTATGTAAAAAAAATAACAGAAAAACGTACGTATATAGACTGACTGGTAGAGAATACCATCAGGGATTAAGTCCGCCCTGTAGACATTTTCCAATGTATACAAAAGTATAAATAAATAAATAAATATTTAAATAAGTAAAGCATATAAATAACGGTAAACCAAGATTTTTAAACTTGAATAATAAATAGTAATACAAATATAATAATTTAATATTACTCCCTAACAATGACATGCAGTGTAAATAATCATATATATAGGATCATACCTAAATCAATCTCTTAAACCGATAATGCACTTCAAATTTAGTAAAAAAAAAAACAACAATGTTGTCAAAATTGGAAAATGACAAGTGAAAGTATGAACATATAAATATGATACTACATATATGACAGTGCAACAATCACCTTATAGTGAATCATATTGAAACGTCGTACACTTGCGAGCAAAATTTTTGATTCTACATTTATATATTTATTTGTCGAACATTTCAATATAATTTTAAACCAGAAACGTTAATATGTACTCAAGTATTATTGATTTAATATTAAAAATTAAAATAAAAAAAAATGACGTCTCGTAAAACCGTTTATTTAAAATTCTTTTCATGTACTCTTTTTTTTTTATGCAACGTACAATAGCAAACGAGCTTACGGCCCACCTGATGGAAAGTGGTAACCGACGCCTATACACATGAGCAGTACCGTGGACATAACAGAGTATACTGTTTCGCCCACAATACCCCCACCCCCCCTATCATTGCCATTCCTGAGGACTCAGGTGTTATTCCTCTGTACCCAGTAAATTCACGCCATCTCCCACCCTTCAAACCGAAACACAGCCGTGCAAACACAACTGCTTCACGGTTGAAACACGAATGGGACAGAGGTGGCCAAGCAAACGACTTTTGTACAAAGTCTCCCTCTGGTGACTCACAACCAAACGGGAACAATTCAAGCACACTCAAAATTTACTTTAGTAAATTCGATATAAATTAAAGAAAGAAAGAAAGAAATATTTTTATTCAAAGAAACTTAGATTTAAGCATTTTTGATTTAGTCATTTTTTTTCATTACCGCCATTTCAATATTACTTGAAAGAACTGTCAAATTTTAAATCAGTTCCAAACAGCTACTGTCCTTTTAATTGGACATTCCAGCAGCAGTATTTCCGAACCGATACGACAACATAACCTTCAAGAAAAGAGCATATTCCCTTTTAAAAGGCCGGCAGTACACCTGCAATGCCGTTGGTGTTGTGGGTGATCATGGGCGGCGGTAGTCACTCACCATCAGGTGAGCCGCATGCTCGTTTGCCCCGTGTTGTAAAAAAAAACTATATTTGAGCGGCCATTTTAGTATTTTCTCTCTTTTCAATATTAAATCAATAAAACCCCTTGACCAAAGTACGTAACATAGCCACACAACTCACCTCTACTGCGGTCGGCGTGCGCCCTCTCGGCATTCAAGAAATCTGTCATATGTGATAATCACAGTTCATCACAATGCATGCGACCAACTTGCAATAACACCGTGGAAATATATAATGTGTTACCAAATTATCTGCATTCCCTTTAAGAGGATATAGTATTACTCATATACGTTACGATAATAATAGTATTTCGTGTCTCTAATATATATATATATATATATATATATATATATATATATATATATATATATATATATATATATATATATTTGTCATATATTATACTTATGTATACAAATATCAAAAAGAGTATAAATTTGATCGTTCGTTCGTTTGTAATGGATAAACTAAAAAAAAAAAAAACTATTCGAGCGACATTAAAATTTCTTTCACATACAAAAAGCTATATATTATTTAAAAAATCTATCTACCCGTGCAAAGCCGGGTCGGAACACTAGTCGTTTATATTGCACAGAAAAAAATATTACTAATTTAAAACATATCAAAACAAATTATAAATTACTTTTTCTAATAATAAAAAAGAAAGAAATATAAAAAGACAATAAATATTTTCAAGCAGCATAAATATATATATATACTATATGTATATTTTGCAAATTTAAAAATCTATTTATATACATATATGTAACAAGAAATTAATGACCTCAGTGAGTTCTTGTCATTTCCGACTATTGTTTCAACTCCTACCATTTTAAAAATAATATTTAAAAAGGTTATTTTTTAAAATAAATTACTATACATAAACGTACACAGTTTTATTGCAAGCAAGTGTATTTGGAAACAACAAATAGTACAGCGAGCCGCGTATCTATTTCCACTAAGTGTTGTCCAATAACCGATTGTAGATTAATCGAGAATATTCGCTCAGAATCAGGGAGTTAGTGGATGCAGGTGGCTGAGGACTAGGGTTGGTAATATATAGCAATATCTATATATATTAATTGCAATATGTATATATTGGTCCAATAATGAATATGTTAAAAGTCTGTTATCAAAAAAATAAGGAGTCAGTGGATACAGGTGGCTGAGGACTAGGGTTGGTAATATATAGCAATATGTATATATTATAGTTACAATATCTATATACTGGTCCAATAACGAATATGTCAAAATCTCTTATCCAAAAAACAAAATTCAAAATTCAAAATTCAAAAATCATTTATTCATGTAGGACATTTTAGCCGCTTATGAACGTCAAATTTTTACATTATAATTTTATTTTTTTCCCTACCGTCCAGTTCGGTATATAGATCCAATTGAGAAGAACTGGCAAGAAACTCAATTGAATTACTTTTTTTTTAAAGCCAGTTTATTTACAATGTATATTTATATAGGTGTCTATGTCTAACATTAAATGAAAATTCAGTGCATGAACAACTATTGCCATGCACACTCGTCATTCAAGTAATCGTTTAGTGAGTAATAGGCTTTGCTCAGTAAATATGATTTAACAGATGTTTTGAATTCATTTAAGGGTAATTCCAACATATCCTTTGGTATCTTATTGTAAATTTTTATACCTATTCCCATAAAAGACCTATTAACTTTTTCTAAACGATACTTGGGGACAGCAAGTTTGTCTTTACAATAATGGATAACAGATTTTTAACATATTCGAAACTAGATATCCGACCGATACGGGCGATATCTGACCAATACCGACATTACTCACGTCTGCTGAACGCGTTCTTTGCTCTACGCTTACTATTATAACTGTTTAACCATTAACAATCGATACCGAACGATTATTTAGACAACACTAGTTTCGGCAGCTATAATTCTACAAGATAGATTATTTTTTTTAAATGTAACGAGTAAAACTTCACTGCAGTAACCGCGTCCACAGATTATGTGACTCGCAAATTTTATTTATATAGATAAAATATATAGGTATTGGAGTGGTACACGCTCCAATACCTATATATTGGGTATCACTGGATATTGATGGTGGAAAACAGGTCATCACCCATTTCGATCGAAATAAATATAAGTATTTTTTTTTTATACTATTTTCACCAAAAAACACGGGTTGAAAAATTACAAAAAAAGACTATAAACTATAAGTGAATATATTAGTCAGTTACTCAAGAGTCACTAATCCATAAACATAATAACGTCATGCGTCAACTTTGGAATTTGTATGCAAATAAAAAAAAAACCAAAAAGACATGCCAGACATTTCAACACTAAATATTAATATAAATGCATTTATATTATACTAAATATTTTTTTTCATACAACTTAGAATGGCAAACAAGCTGACGGCCCACCTGATGGAAAGTGGTAACCGTTGCCTATACACATGAGCAGTACCATGGATATAACGGAGTATATTGTTTCGCCCATGATACCCCCCCATGCGTTGCCATTCCTGAGGACTCGGGTGTTATTCCTCTGTACCTTGTAAATTCACTGCCATATCCCACCGTTCAAACCGAAACACAGCCATGCAAACACAGCTGCTTCACGGTTGAAACACGAATAGGACAGAGGTGGCCAAGCAATCGACTTTTGTACAAAATCTCGCGAGATGACTTCCCAAATCATCGAATTGGAGTCATCAGCATACTCCAACTTCAGTGGACCTTTCAACTGTGCTTTTAATTTTAACACTTTGTTAACCGGGTACAAGTAAACTCGTCTCTTCATATCCAACCGTTACTGTCGGGGGGAAAGAGATTGTTAGTAATGGAGATTGAGAATCCCATTGCTAGCAATATACCCAACCAGGTCGACCTCCTCGCGTTTCCCTCTGGAAACTATTATAATTAATTCCTGATGAATTCATCATGATGGACTAACTGGTCTGTTTTCATTCTCATCTATCACCCTTCACTGGTGGTCCGCCAGCGTATCCCGTTAGCGCAGACGGGGTTACCATACCATTTTCTACCAATAAAAACCATTGCTGTCTGGTGAGGAGTGAACTCGTCATTGCACCAGCGTGTAGGTACGTGCTCCTACCACGACGGGTAACACCGTTTGGATTACAAAGCGTTCATGACCAACCAATTATTTTTTCGTATTTAGGTTTTTATCACAATTTCAGTTTAATTCCAAAGATTTCAATCATGACGGAATACCCGGGCAGCAAAGTGTTAAGTTACGGATACCCAGAAAAGTAGATGCCCCCGAAATGTCGAAGGAATCGTTTTCTAAAATGATTTCTGGAGGACAATTTTTCTGAAGACTCGAGACTAACAGAGTAAGGCAAAATTAGACAGAAATCTCACTTGCCCATTCTATCCCAATCACCCATTTATGGGCGATTATCATTTACATTAATTTACATCGACTTTTTTGGGGACTCGAAGTTATAAGCACTGTTGAGAAGTAGGAGTAAATAATATAATATATAGCAAAATCCATATATTTTAGTTACAATAACTATATACTGGTATAATAACGAATATGTTAAAAGTCTGTTATCCAAAAAATTATATTGGATAACAGAATTTTGACATACCCAAAAACAGATATCCGACCGATACGGGCGATATCGAAATCATCAATGTCCAGAGAAACCCGATATATAGATATCGGATCGGTATTCATAATGCCCATGCCTATTGAAAGATCCACCGAAATTTGACAGGAGTGACACTTGGTGAAAACGACCTGGTAAAAATATGAACAATAAAATAAATTGACTCACCGTCGCTCAAAACGACCTCTGGCTGGCTTCGTATTGGTACTTGTTTGGTTTCTATTCTTAACACGCGGTGTTCTGTCGAGGAAATGCTTTGATTAAAATATCTTCTCATCAGCCGTCTACTTTCTACTCATGAACGGTTTTGATTACCGGTTAAAGAGGTTTCTTCAGGGTCGCGACGCGAGCGTAATACCTCTGGTATTACGCTGGCGCAGGCGTTCATAGGCTACGGTAACCGCTTACCATCAGGTGGGCCGTATGCTTGTTTGCCACCTCAGTGGTATAAAAAAAACCAGGTGTACCGGAAAGAGGTAGACTTTGTACAAAAGTCGATTGCTTGTCTTTTCACCTGGTATTTATTGTTGTTCTTACGCCGTATGGTCCCAGCATAGAATAGCATATAATGGGATGGCCATTCCTTTCCCGTGGATGTCGTAAGAGGCAACTAAGGGAGGACGAGGGGAGGGGCAGGAGCCTCTTAAAACATCTCTAAAGCCTAACTGCGGTTGCCAATCCGCCTGCCAAGTGTGGCAACTACTGGCAAAACCCCCCAAGGGGGTTTGTTCAGTAGTGGAGAGTTAAAAGCTGATATGATGACGGAGGGTTAGTACTAAACGAGTTATTACCGTCCCGCGACTCCTCTTCCGTGTCGGAGGGTTGGCTGGCGGGCGAGGTCACTTGGGCAGCGCTTATCGGCTCCGACTCTGACAGGTCTGTGTCATCTGTGGACATACGTACAAATTTATATATATATATATATACTAGCTGACTCGGCAAACGTTGTTTTACCATATACATTATTTCGAGAACTGTACATGAAAATTTATCGTACTACAATTATTATATTCGATCGCCATCTTGCAATTCTATTGCGAAATATAAAAATCGCGACTAAAAACAGGCGTTGATCGTAAAACGGTGAAAATTTGAGGTTGTATGTATTTTTCAATGCTAAATCATAATAAAATAAAAATTAAAAAAAAAATTGTCGGAAAAATAATAAAAAATTAAGGGTGGGTCACCCTTATCATTGAGGGGTATGAAAAATAGATGTTGGCCGATTCTCAGACCTACCCGATATGCACACAAAATTTCATAAATATCGGTAAAGCCGTTTCGGAGGAGTTTGGTAACAAACACCGCGACACGAGAATTTTATATATTAGATAAAAAAAAAATTTAAGATGAGAATGCTACTTTAAACCGACTTTTTTTAATTGTTTTTTTATACAACTTAGAATGGCATACAAGCTGACGGTCCACCTGATGGCAAGTGGTAACCGTCGCCTATAGACATGAGCAGTACCATGGACATAACAGAGTATACTGTTTCGCCCATGATACCCCCATGCGTTGCCATTCCTGAGGACTCAGGTGTTATTCCTCTGTACCGTGTAAATTCACTGCCATATCCCACCCTTCAAACCGAAACACAGCCATGCAAACACAACTGCTTCACGGTAGAAACACGAATGGGACAGAGGTGGCCAAGCAAACGACTTGTACAAAGTCTCCCTCTGGTACTTCTTAAAAGATTCTGGACTTCAAAAATTGTTCTCAATTCGCTTATATTTTATTGTTAAAGTTTCTTAAGCGTATATTGTATGTTATTGTATTAAGTAAAGGTTCAACTTGCGTGTAATTAGATTGAGAAAGCTCGACTAGTTTCGGGATCAATTCGTGACCCTTAGTCATGAGCAACTGTGACATGAGCGCGAGCCTGACTGCTGTATTTTCTTTTTATGTTTGATTACATTTCGTTTTTAAGATGAGAACCCTATTTTCAACCGACTTCAAAGAAGAAGGATTCTCGTTCGCTTGTATTTTATTTTCATGTCTGTCACCTCATAACTCCGTCAATTGTGAACCGATTTGGAAATATCTTTTTTTATCTGATTTTTGTATTGAATCAAAAATAAATAAAGAATAAAACTACAATCCCCCCCCCCCCCTCCTGTTCTTTATCTTTTTTTTAATGGATAACAATAAAATGGTAACCGGCCGCGCTAGCGCTACACGCTGGCGAGATACTAGGAAAACATGATAGGTGAGAATGAAAAGGTAGGTCAGTTAGCGCTACGTGATGAATACACTTGGAATTCAGCATGGTGATTTGCAGGGGAGATCTAACAAGGTTATATTGCTAACAATTCCCATTACAAACAATATTCCCCCTCCCTATTCTTTGACAGTGTGTGCGCGTATGCGCGTGTTTATGTGTGCGCGTATGTATGTGTGTGCGTGTGCGTGTGCGTGTACGTGTGCGTGTGCGCGTGTGCGTGTGCGTGTGCGCGCGTGTGTGTGTGTGTATTTATGTGTGCGTACGTGAGTGTGTATGCGCGTGTTTGTGTGCATGTGTGTGTGCGCGTGTGTGTATGCGCGTGTGCGTGTGTGTGTCTCGGAGTGCGTGTCTCTCTCTCTCTCTCTCTCTCTCTCTCTCTCTGCCCTGTGTGTGTGTGTGTGTGTCTATGTGTGCTGTGTGTGTCTCTATTTGCTGTGTGCGCGCGCGTGTGCATGCGTGTGTGTGTGCGTGAATTTGTGTGCGTGCGTGTGCATGTGTGTTAGTGTGAGTTTTAGTGTGAGCGTGTGCGCGCGTGTATTTGTGTGCGTGTGCGTGTGTGTGCGTGTGTGTGTGCGTGTGTGTGCGCGTGCGAGTGCGTGCGTGTCCGTGCGTGTACTCACACTCGTGGCCGCGCTGCTTGCGCTCGACGACGCGGCGGTACTCGTCGATGTCGCGGTCGGTGACCTGGTCGAAGGGGTTGCGTGCGTACGGCGCGCTGTACACGGTGGCGTTGTGCTGGTAGCCGCGCTGGATGATGCCCTTCGACGCGGCGCCCATCAGCACCTGCGCACGTACATACATTCGTTTAGAAGGAAACACAACATATACAAACATATTTCTTGAGATAACAAAAAAAAATTATAACTACGTGTTTTACGTATACATGTGAGCAGTATTTATATAATTTTTGAATAATAAAAATGCACCGCAGCCGTATAATTAACGCTTCATAGTGTCGACGCCGCGCAATGTATTTGAAATGTTACGACCCACACGACGCGTGATACCTACAGCGCGCGGTCAGTGGCGCTTCTTCGCAGGTAGTTCTCGTACGCACGTGTCGTTGACCTCGCACAGCTGATTCCGCGCGTCGCGGTAGAATTTTAATACGTATATTACATTGCTGTTTTTTAGTATTTCATAGATTACACAATTTTAAATGAAAAAAAAAGAAAAATGTTCGAAATTTTCCGGAAAGAATTTCCACTGGTTATATATATATATATATATGCAAATAACCGTATCAATGTATATACTCACGACGTGGTCGCCGGTGTGGGTGTTGACAGCGTCCTCGCCGACCAGCTTGGCAGCCTCGTCCCACGTCACGCCCTCCAAGATGTGCGACTGTGGGCCAGCGCTTATCTTGTCCGCACGACGATTGTCTTTGATCTGTATTGTTGAAAAAAATTTAATACACACTCTTAATTTATCAAAGGGAGACTTTGTACAAAAGTCGATTGCTTGGGTACCTCTGTCCCATTCGTGTTTTAACCGTGAAGCAGTTGTGTTCGCATGGCTGTGTTTCGGTTTGAAGAGTGGGATATGGCAGTGAATTTACAGGGTACAGAGGAATGTGTTATTCCTCTGTACCCAGTAAATTCACGCCATATCCGAGTCCTCAGGAATGGCAATGCATGGGCGAAACAGTATACTCTGTTATGTGCACGGTACTGCTCATGTCTATAGGCGACGGTTACCACTTTCCATCAGGTGGGCCGTCAGCTTGTTTGCCATTCTAAGCTGTATAAAAAAACATTAGGGGTGGGGGGAAAGGGATTGCTAGCCGTACCCTGTCGGGTTGACCTCCTCCCGGTTCCCCCTAGAAACTATTGTGAATAAGTATTGCTAAACTGTTTATAGCTACTCCTCTCCATCCAAAGGTGGCGTGCAAGAGATCTCTCTCAGCGATAAGGCCGCGCATTGTTCTCTCAGTGCAATATTACCTTGTAATTGTTTGTATCTATAATAAGTTTACTATTGTAATCTTATGGAGGGAACAATAAATCTAAATTCATCATAATGCTCTTGCTGACTTGCCTTTACATCCTCACCTATCATGTGTCCCTGGTACCTCGCCAGCGTATACCGATAGCGCAGACGGGGTTACCATTCCATTTTCATCCATAAAAATAAACTATTTATTTATTTTTTAGCTTCTACTTGCATTTTCAGCCCGAAGTATAAGTAAACTGAAGTGGTAATGGCCTGGTCACATAGCTCGAAGAACCGACAACCGATGGGAAAGAAAGGTTCTTGAGTGACCCGTACGGACAAACGGAGTATTGGACGACTCACCACTAGATGGAGTGACCTCAAATGCATTGCAGGGAATCAGTTGACATAGATGGCTCAGGACCGTTCCTTATGGCAGTTTATGGGGGAAGCCTATGTTCTGAAGGGAGAAAATGTTGGAACACTTGATACGACACGTCGAACTTTTGAACATTATAATAGAAGGTAAGATAGAAGGAAAGAGGGGGAGAGGGAGACCGAGACATAGTTACATCGGGCAGATCAAGGAAGGAGTTGGTGTCGTGTCGTATCAAGAGGTGAGGGGATTCGCTGACAATCGTAGTGAGTGGCAAGAGCTCAATCGACAAGAGAGCAGCTCTTAAAAAGTTACAAATATGTCTTCAAATTGAAAAGAAATTACAAAAACAAATTAATCTCTTACACGAGTATGCCGTGTGGTCCCTGCATAGAATGGACCACCGCTTCCTTTCCCGTGGGTGTCGTGAGAGGCGACTAAGGGACGGCGAGGGACAGACAGAAGCGTCTCTTAAAACATCTCTAAAGCCTAACTGCGGTTGCCAATCCGCCTGCCAAGCGTTGCAACTACTGGCAAAACCCCCCAAGGGGGAGGCTTATGTCCAGCAGTGGACAGTTAAAGGCTGATATAAAAAGGTGATGACAAGTTTTCCTACAGGAACATTACAAGTGTCTGCGATGCCTTAAACGCTCTTAACGTAGTCGAATTTTTCAAAAAAACCGACTTTAAAAAGAAGGAAACTTTCAATTCGGTTCTATGGTTTTTTTTTTTTTTATATTTATTACCACATAACTGCCGTCAGTTGTAAACCGATTTGGATTATTTTTTTTTATCCGAAAGGACATACTTTCAGATTGGTCTTGTAGCCATTTTATATACGTATATATGGTTTGTTGCACTTGTAAGTTACATATAAAATAATGTATTTATCAACACTTCTTTTTTTTTTTGTCGGACACAATCTTTATTTAAAAGCGATTAAAAAAATATATAAAAAAAAACAACATACCTGTTGCTGTAGTTGTTTGAACTCTTTCGGATTGGTGTTTTTAGGCACAAATTGCAGTGTATCTATCTTGACCGGTGTGCTGGAGTGCGCCGGCGAGCCGTCTTGTACCCACTGCGGTTCGCAATAAAGTCGAATACCCCGCGGCACGTTTCGTGTCCGTCGATTATCGCGTAGTGGGGGAGAGAAAAAGAGAAAAAAAAAACATAATTAGTGAAAATGCTGCCAGCACGTGACATCGACTTGTATTTAAATTTGGAACGTTAAATACGTGTCGATTGGTAAGCGGAGGGAAAGAGAGGTCAGGATTATTGTTGGTGGCCAGTTTGAAAAAAGAATTGTGCGCATAAAGAACGGCGGGAAAAGATAACGGTTCAAATCTTACAATATCCATATCCTGGTTAGCATCGAGCATGTACAGTAAAGAATTTTAAAAGAAAAACTAAAAAAAATTGTTAAATCACTCAATTTACGCCATACAACATGCAAAGCTTTAGTAAAAAAAAAAAAAAAACAAGTTTTTAATTTTTAACTATTCCAAGGTTTCGACGCGTTCTTTATATAGAGGGGAAAAAAAAAACAAAAATTTAAAAATGGATCCAAGGAATACAAAATGGGAAGAAATAAACAAAAGGTTGTGCTGGTAGAACGGGAGTTTACATTCATGTGGCAACATTTATACTAATTTTCTTTTTTTTTTTTTCTTTCTTTCTATTCCTTGCACTACACTGTACAAACTCGATGGTTCATTTTTTTTTCTCACAATCATTTACTTTTAATTGTGTAAATTAAATAGTATACTATAACCAGGGTAGGATAATGAAATGCTGTTGAAATTGTTTAATTTTAGTAAAAGCTTAAGTTATTTTTAAAGTATTTTTAATATATTTTAATTATAAAAAAGCATAATTAATTATATATACTATAAGCCCTGTAAATATGGTTCCACAGACACAAAAGAAAATTAAAAAAATCTCCCTGAAGTTTATAAATATATATATGTCTTTATATATAGATAAATTATAACAATACAATTTTTGTATACAAAAATAAATAAATAAACAAATAAACAAAAACCCATCAACAATAATGCGACTTGTAATAAATTTAATATAAAAATAGAGAAATAAAAAATAAAAAAAAAAAATAGACCGTTTACGAACATCGAAAGAAAACGTCTGACCCATTTACAAGTGGTTAATATAATAAATAAATAGAAAGAGTGAACGTAACAAAATGTTATTTACCTCTTCGTTGTTAGCGCCCACCCACTGTAAAACATTACAATATTAGTAAAAGGCACGAAAAAAAACAAACACGACACGACACGACACGACACGACACGAGCGGAGAATAAGAACGAACAAAAACAAAAAAAAACTCTGTAAAAATGGTTACCAAATATTTTTAGTAGGAGAAAAAAACTTCTTTTTAGCGATAAAACTCAATTTCAAAAGCATTTCATTTGTATGAGAAGCGTTTCAAAAAATAGCTTGTTATTGTTTTTTTTTTCACAATTGTTTTATTTATTAATTTATTCGTAAACATATATATCCTCTATAAAGCACAGTAGTGTAGCGATGTTACATATGTCTAGTGGATTTTAGCAAAAACTTTTTTTTTTATTTTTTACAATGGTAACTTTATATCCATTTACAGAAATGAAATGGCTGAAGTCGAAGGCTTAAAACATATTAAAAAAAAAAAAAAAAAAAAAAAAAAATATATATATATATATATATATATATATATATATATATATTATGTGGTCTTGGTAAACAATAGGCCACCCTGTTTCATGGGTGTCTAACTGCGGTTGCCAATCAACCTGCCAAGCGTGGCAACTACTGGCAAAACTCCACTTATGGAGAAGGCTTACGTCCAACAGTGGACAGTTCACGGCTGAAATAATAATTAATAAGGTATTTGCCAGCCAGCCTGCCAACCGTGGCAACAACTGGCAAAACCCCTCTTTATGTAGAGTCCTGTGTTCAGCAGTGGACGCTTAACAATTGATGTCATCGATATTTACCTATTAAAACATGTATTTAAATATTTAAAAAGTTTTTGCTAAACTCCTCATCGCCTCCAGCGAAATGGTAATGCACTTGGACGTCACTGCACCGGTGAGTAAAAAATTTGACAATAAAACATCAATGGACATTACACTTTTTAAATTCGAAATAAAAAAAAAATTCTCTTATTCTCTATGCATCTCTATACCAGGGATGTCCTACCGGTGGATCGCGACCACTAGTCCAGTGGACGGTGGCAAGGCGAACAATATAATACATTGCTAATCCAGCGGAGGACGCTCGGACGCGACGCTCGCACTAATATAAACAAGTAGTCGCCGAGAAGCAGTTTCAGTTTTACATTCTCCCTCTTAATACAATAAACAATACTGCAACACTACACGCTCGTGTACTGAACTGTGCCGTTACACTTGTGATCTCACGAAGTATGCAATTGGTAGATCGCACAGGGTCGCGTCGGTAAATAGTTGATCTTAGGTCTAGTCGAGTCGACCAGCCCTGGTCCACCTATCTCTGTTTTTGAGAATAGTTCAAAAATATTAAATAACCTATGTTAATTATCCAATATCTAAATCTACATGCGCATTGGCCTCATGTAAGGCGGAGACGCTATGACGAAAAGCACTAAAGCGCCCCCTGACGATGACTTCCAAATGAAGCCGAAACAATTGTCCGAAACGACAAAACTACAGCGAGTCCATTGATCTCCCGTATGTATATATCTTAGATTATATAGATAGAGAGTATCGAGTCTCAAAAACGGGTCAACTTTTCGTCAGCTAATTGTCAAGTTGGCTGACTCGTTCCCTTACCAGTGTTCTATATACTTACGCACACAATGCACCTTGACGTATCTATATTTAATTGTTTAATAAATAAAATGACTGTTTACACAATAAAAAGATGCAGAAATTATAAAACAAAATAAATATAGGAGTTATAAAGGAATCGCTCGTAACTATTTGTCACGTGAAATTGTATGAAAAATTTGAGCCGCTTTTCTCGAAGCATTTGTATGGAGACACTCTATCTATTTAATCTAAGAATCGAAAGTATACGACGTCGAAGATTGTTAATTAAAAAAAAAAAAATGACGTCCAAACACACACCGTCGACATTAGGACATAGTTATATATTTAAAACGATACACAGACAAAGCATATATGTAATTTTAAACGCATTTTATATATTAATAACTCTATCAATATCTCTTAATAAATATAGCACAATAAAATCATTTGAAAATAATATTTGAAGCTTATCTTTTTCAAATTTCGAACAGACACAATTTTTTCTTTACTTTATTTTTCTTCGTTCACATTTTTTAAATTTGGAACACTTTTTCTCTTAATTAAAAACAAGCCAAGAGTAATTTTCAAATAATCGATTATATCTTTATTGATTTTTCGATGATTTTTTTTATTTTATGAAAAAAAAAATGTAAAAATAATAAAAGAAAAAAAACTTTGAGCCATTTTGAGCGAAGACTGTTGACGACAAAATGCTCGTTTCTGCATAGAATCCCTATTCCTACATTATTGAATGGAATATAGACTATTAACTAAGAATTAACATTTCTTATATACCCACTATATATGAAACAACTACATATACGCGTAGAATAATAAAATTAAATATATTTTCTTTTCTTTATTTAAACAATTTGGTAAGAAAAAGTCTTGTATAATTATTGTATAAAAATTAACATCACTAACAAAAAAAAAGTATAAAAAAATAAATATTATAAAAGTAAAAAAAAAAAGTTGGAATGTGACAAGTAAGATCAGAAAAGTTTAATTAAAAAAAAAACCGTCAAATGGCGGTACCACAGGCTATATATAAAATTATAAAAATCCGTCAAACGGCGGTACCACAGGCTATGTATTATAGAATGAACTGTAATCTATGGCGGAATAAACAAAATAACAATAAATATTTATTTGAATTATATAAATGTATGCATTAATCATAGTTTGGATAGATAATATCGATACCGCTTTGATATTTATATATTGGATATTGACGGCGGGAAAAAGGTCAACAGGCCATTTCGATATCGCCCGTACCGGTCGGATATATACATTCATATCGATCCAATTCTAATCCTATATTGGATAATCGAAAACTATTTCGGCCAATACACAGATATTATAACTACAATATACAGATATTGCTATATATTACCCAGCCCTATCTATATTCATTTCGATCGGTTTCTTTATTTCGATATCTGATATTGGATAGCCCATATTTAATACATTCGTTATTGGACCAATATATAGATACTGTAACTCTTATATATAGATATTATATACTATTAGACACTATATATATTCTACCTCTAATAGAAACATTTGTTATTCTTTTTTTATACCACTGATGTGGTAAATATTTGTTATTCTATTGTTTCTGTCGCAAAGCTGTTTGCATGGTTATTTATATCAGTTTAAATTGTGAGATATGGCAGTGAAATTAAAGGTGTACCCTTTACCCAGGCACAACATATTAGAAATGGCAACTCATGAGGGATATCAGGGGTGTCACAGTGTATTCTGTTGATCCACGGTACTGTTCATGTATATGACCCACAGTTACCACTATACATCAGGTGCACCATCACTTAGATTTCCATTCAAAATTACATTAAAATGTATGTATGTACGAAAAACTAATGCAAAAATCCTTTCATTAGAAAAAAAACCATCATTTTGTATTGTGATGAGAAGTGATTAAAAATTTAAAAAAAAAAAAACTATTTAACTCTCATCAGAGTCTGTATTACTGTGTTAAAAAAAAAACAGGCTGGAAATATCTAGAAATGGGAATATACACATTCCTGCCTGAAAATGTATGACCAATTGCCATTTATAAATTAGGTAAATTTCAATATGGCTTACAAATTACAGCTTGAATCTACAATCGACCATTAAATAATAATAATGATTAAAAAACATTGCCTCAATATGCCTGAATACTCGCCAATAAACAAAATTGCCTGCATTCATATATTAAACGTTGCCATCAATAATTTATACAATTTTAACATGATTCACAACTTACAATAAAAAAATTCTAAAAATGCCTGAGACCGTGAGTATGTCTCAAGTACCGATGAAATTAATTTTATAAAATTAAATAAAAAAATAATTTTTGCCTGACATTGCCTGTTATGATGATCCGACTGTCATCTATAAATTGTGTAATTTTAACATGATTTACAACTTACAGCATAAATCTATCATCTACGATCAACGATCGAAAAGTACTTTTATATACGACTTTGCCTGAGGTGGTGATTACGTTCCAAATTACCTTCATTAGAGTAATAATAAAATTGCCTGACTTTGCTTGTAAGATGATTAACCAACACTTAGAATTTACGTCATTTTACATTGTACAACTTATAGCCTGAACTTATGATTAACCATCAAATAATATACGAAAAGAACATAGCCTGAAAATGCCTGAAACGGTGATTTACTGATTGACATTGTATTTACGCGCAACCTACTCAGCTTCAACCCTCAAATATTCTACCTTGGTGATCTTCTTGGGGTCGCTGGTGCCAGTCTCCAAAACCTCGACCTTCTGGTAGACATTTGGTGAGTTCAGCCAGCGGGTACGCTCGCCGGTCTTGCCTTGACCTTTCTTCCATAATCTGAAATTAAAAAATATATTTATTTTAAATCAAGTTATCCACATGGTGTTGGAATCAAAACCATATATATCATCACCCCTGTTCATCCCCATTGGCATACTCGAGATTATTTTTCAGAACGGGACTGACCCCTTAAAATTAGGCGCATACATATTTCTCAAGTTAAAACATCACCAAAGTCTAACTGCGATTTTCAACGCGCTTGCCAAACATGACAACTATTGGCAAAAGAAGGAGGCATGTGTTCAGCAGTGAACAATTAAGCGTCGTAACCTTAAAGGCTTTAATATGGCATAAGGCGAGCCGTATGCACTTGCATTACATAAAAACTTACCCTTGCTTGTAAAGCTCTTCTTCTTCCAGAAGGTATCCCAGCGAGGAGACGGCCGGCGGTACTTCTACGTCGTTCTTGGGTTTCGGTACGTCGTTCTGTACAGACAAATATACACACACAATGAGTCCAAAATCTACTTTAAGAGGGAGACTTTGTACAAAAGTCGATTGCTTGGGTACCTCTGTCCCATTCGTGTTTCAACCGTGAAGCAGTTGTGTTTGCATGGTTGTGTTTCGGTTTGAAGGGTGGGATATGGCGTGAATTTACAGGGTACAGAGGAATAACATCTGAGTCCTCAGGAATGGCAACGCATGGGGGGGTATCATGGACAACAGTATACTCTGTTATGTCCACGGTACTGCTCATGTCTATATGCGACGGTTACCACTTTCCATCAGGTGGGCCGTCAGCTTGTTTGCCATTCTAAGTTGTATATAAAAAAATAATAATAGTAATAAAATAATAAAAAAATATTGGTATCCCCGCCTACGCTATGGGTATACACAAGGGAAGTACCAGGGACACATGATAGGTGAGGAGGAAAGCAGGTTAGTAAAATTCACTCGGAATTAATCACGATAGATTCCAGGGGAAAGGAAGGGAATAGAGGTCGACCTGATAGTGTAGTATTGTTAGTAATGGGGCTGTGAAACCCCATTACTAATAATCCCATTACCTCCAGCACAATACCCTTGTTAAGACGACCTCCACGCAGTGCAACCTACAAAAGTTGAATTCGTCGTAATGTGCTGAGTTGACTCTTCACCTATCATGCTTCCCTGGTACCCCGACAACATTTACAGACAGAGCGAGAAGGACAATCGTATTTCCTTTGAAACATATTTTAGAATTAAGCCCATACTAAGCCCAGCAGTGGGCTAGTACAATCCACTACGACGTACCTTGATGAGCGGATTCCTGTATATGTAGCCGGTGCGGAAGCCCGCGTTGTCCAACATTCGCATCAGTGCCTCGAACTCCTCACCGCCGACCCGCCACTTGTTCGCATCCGACGGCGGCTTGCGGGACGCTTCGTAGATCTGTCGACAATAGTAACAAATAAATACACTTGAATGGGGGAGAGGGGGTTATTAGTAATGCAAACTACCAGTCCCATTGCTGGCAATATATCCTATCAGGTCAAGCTCTACGTGGTCCTTCCTGAAAATCATCGTGCTGAATTCCAGGTGTATTCATCACGATGGGCTAACTGACCTGCCTTTTCATTCTCACCTATCAACCCTCACTGGGGTTCACCAGCATATACTAAGAAAATGGTATGGTAACCCCGCCTGCGCTAACGGGATACGCTGGCGGAGCACCAGTGAACGGTGATAGATGAGAATGAAAACAGGCCAGTTAGCCCATCATGATGAATTCATCAGGAATTAACCATGATAGTTTCCAGGTGGAACCGCGAGTAGGTCGACCTGGTTGGGTATATTGCTAGCAATGGGATTCTCAGTCTCCATTAGTAACAATCCCTTTCTCCCCATCAGCACGGGCGGGGTTTGGAGTATGTAAAAAAAAACACTTATATTTTACAAAGTAAAATCAAATCGTCTCTATTCAAATACACTTGTTTACAAGCACTTTTAAATTGTAATTTTTTTAATCTACTGCAGGCTTCGGAAGGTTGTTATGTGTTGTGAAGAGCCCGCGAGAAACTCGACAGTTACTCTTTCAAATCTCTGTTAACATTATGTGTGTTTGTTTAAATGTACTATGTCTAACATAACACGGTCGTTGAAAGCCCGCGCATGATCCACTAACACCATGCACGCTTGTCTTTCAAGTAATCGTTAATCATTTTTCACTAGAGGTAGACTTTGTACAAAAGTCGTTTGCTTGGGTACCTCTGTCCCATTCGTGTTTCTACCGTGAAGCAATTGAAGCAGCGTCCCTCTTAAAACATCTCTAAAGCCTAACTGCGGTTACCAATCCGCCTGCCAAGCGGGGCTACTACTGGATACCCCAAGGAGGAGGCTTATGCCCAGCAGTGGACAGTTAAGGGCTGATAAGATGATGATTCCTACATCGGTAACTAACAACACGAAACGGAACAAAGAAGCCCCCACACAAATGATTTTTTCTCAAACATGCTTGGAAATGTGAGCATTGTTTTGACAATCTTCTTAGAGATAAATCAAAATTGCCGTACTGGCCAGATACATGCGGGCAGCGGCCGGCAAAAGTTGTATGAAAATCCATATCTGTCGTGTTTTGCGGCCAGATAAATTACTATGTAAACTCATATCTGTCCTGTAATTTAAAAATGGAATGACATTTTACTTCGAAACATGGCTACCAAGGAGGTTACTAATAAAAGATTTTATTTAAATTTCGAACTGGCTTGCAAATAGAAAGCTGTTTATTGAAAAACAAAGGAACATTAAGGCGCGTGAAAAATTATTATTGTACGTTATTCGTCATTGAACTTAAAAAGTAAAATTGTGTTTCTGATTTCCGCGCATTGTTTGAGAAAAGTACTATACAAGCCTTGGCCTCAACTAGGCATTGATGGACTCATGTATGTGTGCCTCGGCTACGCCTCGGCCCACATTTGCACGTTCGTCCATCAATGCTTCAGTTTCTGGCCGCTGCAGTAATGTACTATAATACAAAATAACCATCGCCTCCCATAGTCCTACAAACCTGTCTCCTAGTGTCCTCATCGAGCAGTGTCAATTCATCGAGCGGCAGCGAAGCCAGGCGCAGCTGGACGTCGCAGGCGGCGGTGAGGTTCCGGGCCTGGTGGAAGGCCTCCTCGAGGGTGGCGCCGCAGCACAGCGCGCCGCCGCTGCTCAGCACCAGCACCTTGGCGGACGGGCCGAGGGCTCGCACTAGCTTGTCGCGTTCCTCGTTATCCAAAGCACCTGGGAGTGATATTTAATAATAAATATAACTTAAGGAAGATTATATATATATATATAGATTAATTTTACTTTCTGTTTAGCACTACTACTGCCCACTCACTACTTCCTATTCCACTGCGTTAGGTTGACTGGAAGAAATCTCTTTTAGAGATAAGTTCGCGTTTGCTAACATTGTTATTAACTTATTGTTGTTACTGTATGTTTTAGTGCAATAAAGAATATATATATATATATATATATATATATATATATATATATATATATATATATATATATATATATATATATATATATTATTATGTAAAAAGTTTTATTATTCGAATGCCGTGTAACATAACAGTTAACAGATACCGTATCATATCGTAGATAATAGGTATTGTAAATAATAAACGTTGTTGCGTTAAACGATAGTTTTTCAAAGAGAGGCAGGCGGCCGGTCGTAAAACTAAAAATCAAATCTTTTTGTAATATAAATAAAACCTGCCGAGGTTCTTCAAAAGGGGGTTAAAGAGGTTTCTTCAGGGTCGGCAACGCGCGCGTAATGCCTCTGGTATTGCAGGCGTTCATAGGCTACGGTAACCGCTTACCACCAGGTGGGCCGTATGCTTGTTTGCCACCTCAGTGGTATAAAAAAAATAATAAAAAAAAAACAATATCACGCCGAGCCCAAATAATAATTGGCATAAGGGTACAAAGACGATAAGGATGTTACGTTAACCAAGAGTATAAATAATTATAGTACAATTACAGTACGCATACTAGTTACTATGCAAAAATATACCTGGAGGGAGACTGTACAAACGTTGTTTGCTTGGCCACCTCTGTCACATTCGTGTTTCTACCGTGAAGCAGTTGTGTTTGCATGGCTGTGTTTCGGTTTGAAGGGTGGGATATGCCGTGAATTTACTGGGTATAGAGGAATAACACATGGGTTCTCAGGAATGGCAACGCATGGGGGGTATCATGGGCGAAACAGTATGCTCTGTTATGTCCATGGTACTGCTCATGTCTATAGGCGACGGTTACCACATTCCATCAGGTGGGCCGTCAGCTCGTTTGCCCTTCTAAGTTGAATAAAAAAATATATTTTGTGATATAACTGCAAAATTAACAGTTTTCGAATGTTTCCCTTTACTTGTACTAGATAACATTGCTTCTTGCCAAATTTCATAATTCTAACTGGAAGTATACTAAAGGTTTGGATTCGCCTGCAAATGTCCAAATACAGGATACAAACGGCCGTATCTTTTGATTGCGTCGACTCACAAGTTTAATTTTTTCACAGCCTCAAAAGACTTCAAATTTAAGTATTTGATATTAATTTCAACTTGATACTTCCACGTGTTTTTGAAAAAAAAAAAAAAGGTCATCATAGACAGACAGAGAACAAAAAAAGGGGTTTTAGACAACACACCAGCTAGAGTTACGTACTGTTATGTTATTAAAATAATATGCCAGGTGAGGCGAGTGCATTTGTAGGTACAACTTAGAATGCACGAGGGGAAGGGATTGTTAGTAATTAACTTGCTAACAATGGGACTACCAGTCCCATTGCTAGCAATATACCCTGTCACATCATCCTCCACGTAATCCGCATTGAAAAACGTGCTGATTTCCAAGAGTATTCATCAAGGTGGGCTAACTAACCTGCTTTCATCCTTACCTATTATGCGTCCCTAGTACTCCACCAGCGTATACCGTAAACGCAGACGGGGTTACCATTCCATTATCATCCATTAAAAAAAAAAAGAAAAAGTTAGGAATGCATGTAGCCAAGTATGGTTGGCCCTTTGATGTATGGAGTCCTAACAAATGTTTCCACGCTAACTCACCGTAGGGCACGCGGTGGTAGGCGATCTCGCCGAGCAGGGCCGCCTCGTTGCACAGCGGCAGCAGGCCGCGCCGCATGCTGGACACGGCCAGCGCGGACGGCGAGCGCACGTGCAGCACGCAGCGCACGTCGGGCCGCGCCGCGTGCACCGACGCGTGCAGCGAGAACCCTGCCGGCGTCAACAGACCACCCTCGTAATACACAGTTGGGGGGGGGGGGGGGGGCAGGAGGTAAAGTAACCGTCAATCCTCATTAGCAATGTACCCTGCCAAGCCAACATCCACGCAATTCCCAATAGAAACTATCGTACTGAATTCCAGGTGTATTCATGATGGGCTAACTGACTTGCCTTTTCATCCTCACCTATCATGCCGCCCTGGTACTCCGCCAACGTATACAGTTAGCGCGGGCAGAGTTAATATTCCATTATCATTCATAAGTAGGATAGAGGGATGAAGGGGAAGACAATCTCCATTGCTAACAATGTACCCTATCAGGTCTACCTCCCCTCAGTTCCCCATGGAAACCCTAGTGATTAACTGTGATAAATTCATCACAATAGGGCTAAGTGACTTGTTTCTATCGCGTCTCGTCTCGCACTGGACAGTGTGACGCATAGCGCCGTACGACCCCTGAAGAAGGCTTCCGGATGAAGTCGTATCAAGTTGTTGATCCGGATATTGTCGGAAAGGACAAAACCACAAGGAGTTCATTGATCTCCAACATAGCTTTAAAAGCCATGAAATAGTTTTTAAATTCCTCCGTTACTAGTGATCCAGGCCGGTTTCACATCTATTTTACTAGCTAATTGTGTAGCTTTCTAATGGTGCAAGAGTTTTCGAAATCGGCCCAGTAATTTTAGAATTTATTCGTTACAAACATACAAAAATACCAATCTATCCTCTATAGTATAGATGTAGACAAACAATCATACAAGAAAACTGTATAGAAAATATTAGTATAAAAAAAGTATAGACAACGAAACTCCTATCGCCCTATGATATCCTAGTACCATCAATGTTTCGAGCCAGTAATTTTTGAGCTTAAAGTGAAGACAACGAAAGTGAAGCTCCTGTCGCCCTATAATATCCTGGTACTTTCAACGTTGACAGGAAAATTGGTGGTGCCCTGATCCTACTTAAGTGAAACTCCTACTGCCTTATGATATCCTGGTACCTTCAACGTTAACCGGGAAATTGGTGGTGCCCTGGTCCTGCACGACGCCTTGCATGTCCACCTTCACCAGCGAGGAGGCGGTCACCTCGTGCGGCAGCAGCCCGCGCGGCGTCGTCAGCACCTGTTCCACGGCCGTGTTAAGCCGCGCCGTGATCTGACCGCTGATGCCGGCTGTAAGGACAAATGTATTGTTTACTAATATATTCATGGACGTATAGGAGGGGAGGGATGAACGCCAGATTTGAAAGGGAGAGGGATTGTTAATAATACGAACTGCCAGTCCCTTTGCTAGCAATATACCCCGTCAGGTCAATTTCTACGTAATCCCCCCTGGAAACCATCATGCTGAATCCCAGGTGCATTCATCAGGACAGGCTAACTGACCTGCCTTCTCGTCCTTATCTGTCATCCCTCACTGGTGCCCTACTAGCTTATACCGTTAACACAGGCGTGGTTACCATTCCATTGTCATCCATAAAAAAACCCCCAAATTTAACTAGTGCCCACTCCAGCGACGCTTCATAGATATTTTTTTTATACTACTGAACATACAGCATAAAGCATACAGCCCATCTGATGATAAACGGTTTCTGTAACCTATGGACATCTACAACACTAGGAATGTCACGTGCGCGTTGCCAACCTTAAAGAAACCTTAATATCCTCTTTTTGAACAACCCCATACTATAGTCTGTAGGGAAAACCTCGGCAGGGAGCTCATTCCACAACCTGAGTGTTCGCGGGAGAAAATTCCTTTGAAACAGTACCGTATGCGACCATTTAATGAAGCACGAAGCGATTAGCGTCTTCCTTGATCATGCGTACAGCTAAGGAGTGGAACTCTCTCCCTGCTTATGTTTTTTCATTCAAATAAATCTTAAAATAACCGCTCTATTTAAGGCCACATCATCGCTTTTCATCAGGCGAGATCGTGATCAATCGCGGGATCCTTCAATGGTAACATTACCAAAGTCTACGTAGAATATACATACTTTGGGTCCAGCCGAACAAATCCACTAGACGGTAGACAGCGGCCAGCTTGCACCGGAGAATCTTCTCGCCCTTCTCGTATCCAACGCCTTCGATGCCTCGAATGTCGTTGATAGGCAGAACGCACGTTGGACCCTGTTGGGATCATACAATTTTACATACATGCATAATTCTTTCAGAAAAGTTCTTTAGTGGCGACTCACAAGGAAGTACACGCAGTACAGGGCTATCCCACACTAGATGGAGAGACCAACTTAAATGCATCGTGCTGAGTCAGTGAAAGCAGGTGGCTCAGGACCGTTTCCATTGTCAATCTATGGGGGAGGCCTATGTCCAGCAGTGGAGCGATAATGGCTGAGATGATGATTATGAAATATTTTTTTTATAAATCTGGAAATAAAAAAGGTGACAGCCCGCCTGATGGGAAGTGGTAACCATCAGCTATAGACCCCATCTGACGGAAATGAACTGTCACTGTCACTTACAGAGTCGTAAAGCAGCAGTGAAGACTTACATTTACTGGGTACAGAGGAATAACACCTGAGTCCTCAGGAATGGCAACGCATGGGGGGTATCATGGGCGAAACAGTATACTCTGTTATGTCCACGGTACTGCTCATGTCTATAGGCGACGGTTACCACTTTCCATCAGGTGGGCCGTCAGCTTGTTTGCCATTCTAAGTTGTATAAAAAAAAATTCCTAGGGTCTGATATTATGAAAGTGACCGACATAGCCAAAAGGAAGAGCAACCTGAAGTGGGCTGTTCATATAGCTTTAAGAACCTCCAAACCACGCAGTGTAGGACGATCCCCCAATAGATAAACGACCTCAAATGCATTGAAGGGCGTCAGTGTATGCAGATGGCTCACGTCACGACACATGTTTCACCTCTAAACGAGGCATCTTTAGGCAAATTAATAGATCACTGGATGAACCCTATTGCTATCTGTTCAGCGCTCAAACTACAAAAGGTTCAGTCCGTCTGTATACTGTAATTCCTCGTTAAACAAGATCAACTCACCCTCAAGCTGCCTGTGTGCAGACGCCCTCCCACCATCTCCCGTATGCGCTGCAGTAGCGGTGCATCATTGCCCTCGTGGATCTGCTGATCCAGCACCCGCTCCAGCTCCTCACGGAAGAGCTTTGAAGACATGAGCGCTTCCACGCGCTTGCGGCGCTCCATCTCGCGGACATCCTGATGAAAAGGGAACGAACAGTTTTGTTAGTTTACTAGCACTTTTCCGCGACTTTGCCCCCGTACATCAGTACAAAAAGTGTCTAATAAGTTATCACCTATCCCCGTATCAAATTTATATTCAAATCCGTTGAGTAGTTTGTGAGTGAAATAGTGACAAACATTCATTCAAAAATGCAAACTTTCGCGGTTGGTACGTGGATAGGATTAATAAAAAATAGGTTTTAAATCGCCGTGTGAGGGGGGAAAGGGATTGTTAGTAATGGAGACTGAGAATCCCATTGCTACCAACCAAGTCGACCTCCTCGCAATTCTCCCTGAAAACTATCATGGTTAATTCCTGATGAATTCATCATGATGGGCTAACTGACCTGCTTTTATCGTCACCTATCCTTCACTGGTGCCTGCCAGAGTATACCGATAGCGCAGGCGGGGTTGCCATGCCAATTTCACCCATAAGAAAAACTGGTACTCACCGCGTCGATGTCTGCGGGGCGCTGCTTGAGCCTCTCATCCTCCTCCTCGGTGGACAGCGGGCCGGTGCCGTTCGGCAGCGTCTCTGTATCCGTGTCTGCCATTGCTCCTGGCTGCGGACAGAGGAGTACCACACATAAATACGTAGCTCTCTTCGTTGTATTTCTGGAGGCGTAACTTAAAATCTTGATACGTAATACACGCGAACAAAGTAATGGACAAAGGCTAAAGAATAATACATTAATCCATTCCCAAGGATTCCATTCCATTGATATGTACCCTTAAATCCACCACCCTCCAAACCGAAACACAGCCATGCAAACACAACTCACGGTAGAAACAGGAATGGGACAGAGGTACCCAAGGTCATTGACCTCTATTGTCCCATGTCTCGAACCTTGGCATTGTCTGCTAATGAGCACCATTGGACATACGAGAATTGGACACCGCCATCTAGTTTTAAACTAAGCAGAGCTTTTATTATGGTTAATATAGATTACAGAGTAACAGTAATCAAGCTGTGATACGAGGTCTGTCCGGAAAGTTCGTATAAAAGTGTTCTGGAATGCGAGAAAGAGGAGTGGGGAGGCCAGGTAAGCGCAGGACCCCTTCCTTATGTCCCTAACAATGCTTCAGTTCTGGTCTGACCGCCGTGCGGTGCGAACTGGCTTGTCACGCCATCTGTGAAGTTACCTCTTAACGAAACCCCGTCGGCATGGAGCCCGCTTCCGTTGAAGAGCAGCGCGTCGTAATCAAGTTTCTCTCGAAACTCGGCAAGAATGGCCGTGAAATTTTTGCCGATCTCAGAACAGTTTATGGGGATGATGCTGTGAAGGAACCAACCGTCCACAAGTGGCTAAAAAGATTCAGAGAGGGCCGAGAAAGAGTTCGATGTTCGGGGGATTGTCCATCAAGAATTCGTCCCTCCAGGCCAGACAGTTGATGGAAAATTCTACGTCGATGTGCTCAGACGCCTCAAAGCTCGTGTGGCACGAGTTCGTCCAGAATTGGCGCGAGAGGGGCGTTGGATTCTTCACCACGACAATGCCCCTGCCCACACCTCTCTTGTTGTCCGTGAGTTTTTGAGTAAAAATTCCATTACGGTGACCGAACACCCCCCTATTCGCCGGATTTGGCCCCGTGTGACTTCTTCTTGTTCCCAAAAACCAAATTGGTACTTCAGGGGCGGCATTTGGGGGACATAAATGAGATAAAAAAAGCTACGACGGGGCAGCTGAGAAACCTACAACCAGAGGACTTTCAAGGAGCCTTCTCACAGTGGAAACGGCGTTGGCACAAGTGCATTATGTCACAGGGGGAGTACTTTGAAGGGGATAAAATTGATTTACCTGAATAATTGTAAAATAAAATTTTTAAAAAACTTTTATACGTACTTTCCGGACAAACCTCGTAGTTTCACCAGAGGGAGACTTTGTACAAAAATCGATTGCTTGGGTACCTCTGTCCCATTCGTGTTTCAACCGTGAAACAGTTGTGTTTGCAAGGCTGCGTTTCGGTTTGAAGGGTGGAAAATGGCGTAAATTTACTGGGTACGGAGGAATAACACCTGAGTCCTTAGGAATGGCAACACATGGGAGGTATCCTGGGCGAAACAGTACACTCTGTTATGTCCATGGTACTGCTCCTGTCTATAGGCGACGATTACCACTTTCTATCAGGTGGGCCGTTAGCTCGTTTGCTATTCTAAGTTGCGGACTACCTATGGAGACCATCGTGCTGAATTCGTGATGAATATATTCATCACGATGGGCTAACCGACCTGCCTTTTCATCCTCACCTATCATGCGTCCCTAGTACCCCGCCAGCGTATCCCTTTAGCGCAGGCGGGGTTACCATTCCATTATCATCCATTTTAAAAAACCTATTACCATCAGGTGGGCCGTACGCTTATTTACCACTTCAGTGGTATAAAAAAAATATATCAATTTTTTTTTTTTATTTTCAATATATTTTTAACAACTAATTTTGTTCACAACACGAACAAACCCGTGCGCGTAGCTAGTTCGAATACAAACACGTACACACTCCGCTCCGTGGCCATAGACTATAATTACAGAGCATAGACTATTCTTTGTTTCAACCTACGTAATAATGCTGAGCCATTATACCGAGGTGGTTGACCGCAGGCTAATTTGATTAGGCGGGCCCAAAATTCGTTGTAATTCAAACCGCCTCCTTGGTAAACAGTTGGGGGGCCTCCGACAGAGTATGGGCGTCACAGTATAATAACGCAACTAGTGAATTCTCGCATGAATCGATATATATATATATATATATTTATATGCAACTTAGAATTGCAAAACAAACTGACGGCCCACCTGATGGAAAGTGCTAACCCGTCGCCTATAGACATGAGCAGTACCGTGGACATAACAGTGTATACTGTTTCTCCCATGATACCCCCCATGCGTTGCCATTCCTGAGGACTCAGGTGTTATTCCTCTGTAACCTGAAATTCACTGCCATATCCCACCCTCCAAATCGAAACACAGCCATGCAAACACAACTGCATCACGGTAGAAACACGAATGGGACAGAGGAATAACACCTGAGTCCTCGAGAGCGAAACAGTATACTCTGTTATGTGCACGGTACTGCTCATGTCTATAGGCGATGGTTACCACTTTCCATCAGGTGGGCCGTCAGCTTGTTTGCCATTCTAAGTTGCATAAAAAAATTATCACATTCGATGAGACAAACTATAAAATTACATTAAAATAATGATGTCACAAAATCATAAACAACTTGAAATATTTAAATGACGCCATGTTTTTGTATAATTAGATGAATACATGAATACATTCAGTTTTGGAGGTCAAGGTCACAAGATTTTTTTTTTATTTATACAACTTAGAATGGCAAACAAACTGACAAGAGCAGTACCATGGACAGGGGGGAAAGGGGTTGTTAGCAATGGAGTTTGACAGCCCCATTGCTAGCAATATGCCCTATCAGGTCGATCTCCACGCGGTTCCCCCTGGAAACCATCGTGAACAATTCTTGTTGAATTCGTCACGATGGGCTAACTGGCCTGCTTCATCCTCACCTATAATCCTTCACTGGTGCCCCGCCGGTATATACCGATAGCGCGGGCGGGGTTACCATTCTATTATTACTCATAAAAAAAAAAGTACCATGGGCATAACAGAGTATACTGTTTCGCCCACGATACCCCCCATGCGTTGCCATTCCTGAGGACTCAGGTGTTATTCCTCTGTACCCAGTAAATTCACTGCCATATCCCACCGTTCAAACCGAAACACAGCCATGCAAACACAACTGCTTCACGGTAGAAACACATTTTTAGCATACACGACTCAGAATGGCAAACAAGCTAACGGCCCACCTGATTGAAAATAGCGACCGTCACCTATAGACTTGAACAGGGCAGTGAACGTCACAGGATATACTGTGACACTCATTCGGGGAGGGGAATGTTCGTAATCGAGTCTAACAACCAAAAATGGGATTACCATTCAATTTTCATATATCATCCATTAAAAAAATACCCTTCATGTGTTCCCATTCCTGAGGAGTATGGTATTATGCCTCCATACCCTAAAACTTCACTGCCATATCCCACCCACCCTTCATCAAATTACAGACACAGCAGCCTAATTTTTGTAGAAGAAAATGGACTGTGCAGTCCTGGAAGCCATTGAATTCGTCACGTGCCAACTGATATGACTACATCCTCACCTATCATGTGTCCCTGGTACCTCGCCAGCGTATACCAACAACGAAAGTTATTTATTTAAAAAAAAAATAACACAGGCAAAGCCTGTAATAAAATATATAGTGATCCATGAGTACCGACTCACTAGACAATTGTTATGGCAAGATGGCGAGCGGTCATCGACCCGCCATGGTGACCATGACTCTGAGGCTTGATATTCGATAAAGTTGTACATTGCCGTTACACTATTTCTACGGTTGCGATTAAAAAAAATAGATTTTTGATACCACTGAAGTGGCAAACAAGCATACGGCCTGCCCAATAGATTTATAGTCTATTTCAATATTTTAAATGAAAATATATACGCATCTCGTTGTAATCATCCCAGAAGAGATATCTCTGATTGTAATCAATAACGAATCGAAGCGTCCAGTCGATCGATCGACGTTTGATTTGTTCTACAAGTAAGTAATAGCAATATCTATGTATTTTGGTTACAATATCATATATATATATTGATCCAATAACGTATATGTTAAAAGTGTTATCTAAAACATAATATTTGATAACAGACTTTTAACATATTCGAAAATAAACATCCGACCGATACGGGCGATATCGGAATGTCTGATGACCTTTTTCCCGCCATCAGTGTCCAGAGGAACCCAATATATAGATATTGGATCGGTACCCATGTTTTTTTTTTTTTTTTTTAATGACGATCACTTAAGAATTTTTCTTCCCCTTCGGTTGTCGGTTCTTCGAGCTATGTGACCAGCCCAATACCACTTCAGTTTACTTATACTTCAGGCTATGATGGTAACTTCGTTTCTTTTGATTTATTTAGTACTAGCGGCCCGGTACGCGCTTCGCTACGTATAAAGTAAAATAATAAAAAAACAATTAACATCAATATCGCTGACAATTTGCTTTAACTGAAGCACGTCCAAAATGAAATGACCGCATGAATGACAGAACAACACGCTTGTACTGTCAACACTGAAAAACAGTTTCAATTTGACAGGACAATCCGCCATCTTAAAAAAAAGTTTGAATTTGACACAAAAATCCCCATTAAATAAATGATCCGCCATTTATTGAATTCATTTGTTACAAAAAATGTGATAAATGAAGAACCGCTCGAGCGATTTTGTGCAAACTTCACATAAACCATCTACTAAATAGTCCGAACAAAGCGTAAACATTTGGTTTGGAAAGGTGAGCCCGTTCTCGAGTTGTAACATTACAACGAAAAGTGGCATTAATTTATATATATATATATATATATATATAATAAGACCGCCTTACTGTACTTATACAATTGTATCGTTATGTTTGTAAATTGTCTTGTTTATTTCCTATATTGTATAATGCAAATAAAGTATACTCATTCATTCATTCATATATATATATATA